ATTGAGAACACTTGCTCCGAAATACATGTGCATACAACTGAGGAATCCAGAATGGGACGAAATAGGACTACTAGATTCTACTAGTATTTATAATTAGCTTTTCCAAAAAATTTTTTGCAATGGCTATATCGAAACAATTCTAACAGAACTTACATATATCAACAAAGGATGATTAAAATTCAGTCTTAAATATCAACAACAGTATGAATAAAATCTCCGCTAATATTAGTACTACACTCTTCGGTTGATGATTTAAACTTCAGTCGATGTTTGACAAAGTGCGACATGATTTCATCACCATTGGTGACCTTGCTGCAATGATCTGCATATTTGAAATCTATAGTTTACTAATTCTTGCTAGGCTTTCAGAAATACTTGTATATTTGTTAGGTTCGTTAACCTTGAGGATACTACTGATTCGGAACGGAACGAAGGCTCAGGATTCAGAGACTCAATAGACTATTCTGGTCCGTTGTCTTCGACTCAGCTAACTCGATCAAGAAGTCTTGGTAAGGCGTAGAAAGTGTATTCTTCAAGCAACAGCAGATACCAAGTCAGGCAGGCAGATCAGATCAAGCATACAAGTCAAGCGTATTTATACAAATATATATCGATTTTGTCATAGGAAATTTTTAAACAATAATCAATGAGTCATCAATTGTCTGCTATTTAAAAATTTAATCGATAAGTTCATCAACTGACTGCCATTCAAATATTTAAACATTTAATCGATATGATAAAATTACAAAATATGAGTTTGGGGATATACCGGCCTCAACAATATTCCAGTTCCTTTTGAAATTAGAATTATTTTTAGAATAAATTGTGTTTACTTATAAAAACCGAGAATGTCGCACTATAATTTTGTCAGCAAGATGGTTAATAACCAGCAATGGAATTCAGGATGCTTGTTTCCTACTATGTGAGATTTGTCCGCTGCATGTACCTGCATCTCAGTGTTGACGTTTACTCCGGGATTCGAACTCAGTAGTGTTCACTTGGAACTCCACTGCGTTGTAAGAATTAGGTACTGAATGCTGATAGCCACCTGCTTGTGCAATAGAATGGAGTTTAAAACCGTTTGATATCCATTTTTGCTCATAGTTGTTAAATCTAAAGCCAATTCATGATACAAACTACAAATTGTGAACATTCACTGTAATCATCGTCCACTGAGCTACTCAATCCTGTTAGCCACCTGTTTGTGCAATGGAATGAAGTTTTAAATCACTTGATATCCATCTTTGCTTATAAAGCTAGTGATTTAAGGCAATATTGAGATAATCCTCACAGGATGCACATATGTCAACAAGAGACTGATCAATTACAGTCCTAAACAACAATGGAAAATACAAGCAAAAAGTATGAAGAGTATTTACACTGTGAACATTCACTGTAATCTGCGCGTAGGTGTGTGTACATTTCTTATCCCATTACTCACCACATCTCTGTAACTTACTTTTGTGCAAGTATATATATTGATTAACGCTTGGTTGAATGGGAGTTACGATACCAGCCATCTCCACTCTGATTCCTTTCTATTCTCTTATTCCATTCGCTTTATATACAAAATATATGTATTCACAAGTCCATTCCCGTTATTTGACTTATTCAATTAAATTAGTGAGTAACACGATATAAGGCGATGATTATATAAGACGATAGGCGATAACAGACATTCAAACGATCGGAAAAAAATTCAGAACACGGGCCACTAAAACAAACTATCATTGGAAATCATCAACTGCGTAGGATCAGAACTACACAATTGACTGTTAGCTGCAGAATAATGAACATTTAAAATTACGAAATACACATGAATGATTTGCGTGAAACTTGCCACACAACAAACATTTACCAAACATGCGCTTATTTTTGTGAACTGTCTCACAACTCAATGAATCATTTCAGAAACATTTCAGCTTTTAACGCATTCGAAATTTCTATACTTTATATGGTCTAATAGCAGTTGCTTCAGAGTTGCATAACGAAGAGAAATCGGCTTGTCAGCAGATGCAAATGTCTTTATTTAGCTGCATGTTGACATCCTCAACTACGTTCTTGGTTATAGTCCAGATTTCCAACCTTTCCATGTAATTCGCAAAAGCATCAAATCTGAGTGTATGTTCAACCGTTCTATCACATGCTCCATTGGGACGCAAATGTGATGATTGGGAGTATTTCAATCGTGGTACAAACTAGGAATCTTAGGAACAATTCAATAAAACTAAGAACAGGTAGATCAGCACGAACGAAAGTATTGTATTTGGAATTGGAAATCAAGCAGTCAACAAGTACAAGGGAATCATTAGTTCATAATAACTAGTTACTGATAAGTAGTAAAGGTAGAATAGCTGATTGATGGAATTCCATCAGTATTTAATTCCTAGACAAACACGACATCAACAATTGTGCTTTGATCAATAAATATAAACATCTCTGTACTACAAGATGTCAGTTGTGTTTACTGTAACGTAGCAGTAAATTTTCATACTGCGAAATTGACGGACATGAGTTTGAATTACACGATGAGTATTGGTTTCTTCAAGATTGAGAGTATAACATACTGACTTGTACCAACTACTGTGAAACCGGACTACACGATTTTCTGCAGACAGTGTACAAACTCCGAACATTGTCTAGCTCAATTAAATTATCTCCTTAATAAAATCATCTAAAACGATGAATCTGAAATTGGCGAGACAATGCAAACCTGACATGTTATTTAAATATTCGACTGCGAATGCTTCTTTGCAAAAGAGCGCATTTCAAATCTGTTGAAAAGTGAGGGCAAACTTCAGCACCAAATGACATGCCAAAATGTATTCAACCTCACGTAAACTTTGATCGCTCACATTGAACCATGATATGCAACCATATTCAATAGTCAGTGAAAACATACATTTGGCCAATAGTAAAATGTGTTTATTCAAAATATCGGATGAGGACGAGTTTATCCGCCACAGTGATTGGTATAAAATGGAACACAGAACGTCATGTGGATTTTATCACCAGGATGATTCACCACAATCTCATAGACCGATATACACAGGAAGTAATAACTAGTCGAGTCTCAAAGAATCAGGATCATTAATGCGCGATCCATAGATTGATAAACTGAGGAAGTGAGAGCTAGATGATTCTGTGAGGAAACAACCACTAAACTCATCTGACATTAGACGGTCAATGGCTACAGTGTTTATTTATAGCTGGAGCACAGCCTTCTATGAATTGACAGCCGAGAGATTTGTTTTCACTTCATTTTGTTTATAGAAAGTAGTAATCTTTTGATAAATGAGAATTTCACTCATCTTTTTTATGAACGTGTGGCTAATTATCAAGTTATTATTAGAAATCGTTGTTTTTTTGCTCTAAATAAGATTCATATTACGCCCACTATACATAATAGATGATATGGACTATTACCAAATTATTTGATTAATGAGATGGCGTGAGGTGACTGACGACAACACAGTTATAATCATTGATATTTCTGTCAATAACTGAGGTCAACAGAAATATGTTTTTGTTAATTAGATGGTCAGATAATTTACACTGAGATTAAAGTAGTGATAATATATTTTACTTTAAATATTTGCACAGAATGTAACAGCAATGATAGAATTTGGTGTGATGTTATAGTTGATCAAGGGAATTGGACAGAATTCCCAATTTTTTCAAATCTTATTGCTGAATGCACAGCATTCAAAAGCCATTGCATCATTAGTCTGATTAGAGAAAGTTGATCAAACGAGATACATTCTAAAGTTGGAACATTTCATTTCCGATTGCGTGCAACCGTTTTCGCAGTTCTGCTTCGCAGTATGTTTTTGCGTTATGTCGGTCTTTGTGAAATGAACACTACACTGCATTGTTCTTCTATTTTTTATCTTCGAACAATCCTTCACTCAACATCCATTGAAACTTAGACGCTAAGCCCTACAGCTGAGGGTGGATCGATCGATTGGATCCTCATTAACAGTCAGTTATGCGCGGCTAGATTAGAAGGTTCCATCAAAGTGAGAAATCGGTGTGAGAATTGATGTTTTTTATTCATCTCCGCCTATCGTCTGACAGATTGCAGCTCGGATGCGACCAAAGATGGGTTTTATTACCAGCTAACAACCCTTCTACAGATATTGCTGTCAACGCCATAGATCTGAATGCTCAGGTCGGGCGCCTAGACTCAGAAGAGTAATTTAGGTGACCATTGAGGACTGTTCCGTAGTGAAATCGGGCAAAGCTTGAGTAAGGACTGAAAGAAAGCTGCAAAGGTCTGACCTGTGTTGGTCCGAGAGATTGTGCGACACATTGGCTAGAGACGTTATCAGATATAGCTCGAAATAAAAGCCAGTGGCGATCCTGCTGTAACTTTATTTTACTTTCTTCATAGAAATGACACAACTTTTTTAAGTGGAAGAATTCTCTGTAGTTGAACTTTTGCTGATTTGACTATCTCTCCAATTATTATCACTTCACTAAACTACACTTTACTTTGTTCGTTTTTATTCCTTTTTCCTTATACGCACCTTACATTATTTATCTCTTCACATTCTCATTATTATTGTATGGCGCATGTATATCTGATGCCCCTTTGTGCCAATATTTATATGTTCAAATAAATAGCTATACATACATTTGGTTACTGTTTTTGGTCCGATGAATCAATATTCACTTGGACGATGTCTCCTCAATTCACATCATTATTTAATTATCATTAATGTTTTTATACGATTAATTAACTAAGCCAATATATTAAAAAAGAACACAGTTAATCAATGACTCATCAATTATTAGAAACCGGAAAACATTTAACACATGTAACTGTAAGTGGCTATCAGGACATAGTAGTTAAGTGGATAACATGATATCGTTTGAAGCGATTCCACCGCTCGCCAGTATTCACCTTTGCATATAACTGTAGTTTACAACAATTTTCAACAGTGGTCATTCATAATTTACTTCATTGTTTGAATAGGGCCTGTTACACTTTAGTGATCATGGCTACATCAAGGTGATTAACACCAGATGCACATATATATGCTAACAATAACCGATCAAAATACAATTGTGTATACTAATCACAGTATAATTCAAACACTTTACTGTTAATTAATTTAATTATTTGTTGTTTTGTCACACAATAACTATAATCGAAAATTGCTGTACACAGATCATTAGAAGTTAAATGAGAATTTCATTGAAATCATGAACCGCTCCAAGTTACACTATTATTTAAAACCTGAAAACACTGGACGCCCGCACGCGTGACTCGAACTCAATGCGGTTGGTCTCTCGAGGACGTCAAACCTCTGTACCACTGATTCAGCATCTAAAAATGTCAGTGTTTAACTTCATTCGATCCAGGACATTGCGCGACCATATTCCAATGTCATTGGTGAATAACTGCATCACACTCAACACAGTCCAACTCCACCAATTATGGCTTATCACTAGAACTTCAGAAATTTCCCCTCACTAATTAAAACATAATAATTATCAGTGAGGGCTTGTGGAAATCCTTTCATGATTTAAATGAGATTCAACAATTCCTACAACCCCTAATTGACTCATTATTAACGATGCATTTGAACGAAATTATTAGATAGTGGAGTTAAGGTATTGAGAGGTATAGGATGACACAATAGACGGCTTAGTCTACATGTGCTTGTTAAACGAAGTTTTTTCCTCTCTAAATCATGGTTTAGGGCTCACACACATTGTCACCTTGAAATAGCGATGAAACATCGAGCAATAGACTTCATCAGCATTATTACACATTTTAAAACATAGAGATACATAGCCGTATAACTTCATTGGAACCATGTTATTCATTTAACGCGTTAATGAAGTTAAACCTAAAACAGTCCATCTGATTATTTTATGTAAGCAGAAGAAACAGCAAGCCAGCCAGCTACAACGTAGGACCAGTCACATATATGCATCGGTCCAGGTTGCCATACCGCATTAGCACAACAAGATGAACACCGGATTCATAGGAGTGGTGAGGCCAAAGGTGGTAATATATGGGAGAAAGATTGCATAGTAGGATAAAGTATAGGAAGAGAGAATTAGTTGGTAGTAAGAAAGGTGTGAAGTGATTTTATTCTCTTAGTTTAAAAGAAGACTAGGAGTGTAAACACCTACGCCATTGTGATCGATTCTGAGCCATGTCACCTAGTGTCTCTAACCATTGGTTATGAAAGTCACGCAGACCCCAATCAAGTAGTCTGCATCTACCAACATGGCTCAGACTACAAGTTAGTGACTTCAGGCACTGATGCCACGTTTTGGTTTGGCCGCCTCTAATTTTCTTCCAACCATCCCGAACACCGGTTAGCATTGCAAGTCGTGGTAATCGGTGTTCAGGCATACGTAACACGTGGCCCAACCATCTCAGTCGACGAAGATTAACAACCTCATCAACTGATTTACCATCATTCCCCAATACCCTGCGTCTAACCTCACTATTACTTACCCGGTGATCCCGGCAGATGCCAGCAATGTTTCTGAGGCATCTGTGGTCAAATACTAGTAGCTTACGAGTGTCTTCTACTCTTAATGGTTATGTTTCGCTGCCGTAAATTAAAACAGAACGGACTGTCGCGCATTATACTCGTTCCTTAATTGATAGACGGATATTTCGCCTTCGCCATAGGTGACGTAAGTTGGCAAAAGCCAAACGAGCTTTTCGAATCCGTGCTGAGATTTCGTCAGACACCAACCCATTAGGGCTGATCACACTTCCAAATAAGTGAAGTTGTCAACGCGTTCTACTACTTCACGCCCAACGCATTAACTCTGATGAGCTACACTAACAACCGCTCAGAATAAAGCAGTTTGATCGGCTTTAAACATTTGTCTCTTGGGGTCAGCGGTCACCCTTCCAGGTCGGCAAAATCACTACCTATCCAATATTCTTTTCAGATACCTCAAGAAAAAACTATCTTTCCTCAATGTAGGTAACTGGGAAATATCAACTGTTCACATAACTCGAGCAGCATTCAAAAACACCTTGTCTGTATTAAAATAACTTTATCTCCTTTTAATACTTTTACTCTATCTCTACTACCGAATTCCGCCTTATGGCTTCCACTTACATAGTTATAGTCATGTGCAACGTAGAATCCGATACATAGGTATGTCAGCTCACGTTGTCATGTCTTATTAGTAAAGAGAGATAAAATTATCGATACAAATTCCAGATTACTAACAGTAGTAATAACATTTGTGGTAGTAGGAAAGATTAGGTACATGCAAAGAAATAAGATATAAAGAGATTTTGTGACACAGGTTAGGCCCCCAAATGCCCAGGTACAGCCGAGAGTGCGGAGAGTCCGCTCTCCCTCTCAAAATGCTCTCACACGGCCACGCGTTTACAGCCTCTGCCAGGGAAGTTCTACCCACTGCCTTCTCGTGGCGGAGGTGTTGCTTACGAAAATGAGAGGACGAAAAGCGAATGTCCGGCGCTTTAACCGGATCACAAACCAATGGTGCACATGGGCTCCAGTATCCTGCGGGAACGAATGGGGTATGAACCATTTTTCGGTCACCGGCTACCATGGGAATGCATCTCCTTACGATGCTCCACTGCCTTGTGGGTTAGACCTTTAGGTCAAAGGCTCGGGGAGTGGCCCCCTAAGATAACCACCTGCTTCGGTCTGGGCACCCAAGCACTATCACAGCCCACACGCAAATGATGAACTCTCTATATCTATGGAAACTACATTTCTCGCTCCGAATAACAGTCAAATGATCCAAATTATTATCATTACTATTATTATTGTTATTATTATTCACTACATCATTATTCACCCTCTTTTATTCCTACTCCGTCTATACTTATTTTTTCAGTTTACACAGCAGCTCGTCTTTGGTAAAAATTCGACTCTATCTAAACGTTCTCGAGTCACTGTCCGGTTGTAAATTGTATGTTACCACCGAATATGAGTACTGAAGCAGTTTTTCTGAAACCACGTGCACCATTCAAACTGGCTGCCTTCAACGTTCACACATTTATGCAGGTCGGACAACAGATAGGGCTGGCTATGTCTTTGGAAAGTCTTAATATTGATGTTTGTTGTCTATCCGAGACCCGTATTCAAGACTGTGGTGAAGTACTACATATTCGCTCTCCATCAGTCGCTTCAAAAATCTTGTTTTACGTGCGCTTATCCGGGGACCCTGTGGCATCTTCGTCTGGTCTTGCTGGCGTTGGTGTCGCACTAAGCGCTAGAGCTGAGGCAGCACTAGTCGATTGGATCCCCATTAACAGTCGGTTATGTGCTGTTAGATTAGAAAGTTCCATCAAAGTGAGAGGAAATCGGCGTGAGAAACGATGTCTTTTCGTCATCTCCGCCTATGCCCCGACAGATTGCAGCCCGGATGCAATCAAGGATGAGTTTTACCACCAGTTATCTGTTCTTCTCCAGAAAGTGCGTTCGACAGATATTGTAGTACTAGCCGGAGACTTGAATGCTCAGATCGGGCGTCTAGGCACAGAAGAGAGTCGTTTAGGTGGCCGATGGGGACTGGTTGGTCGCAGGTCAGATAACGGGGACCGTCTACTGCAACTGTGCACAGACCACAACCTGTTTCTGGCTAGCACTAACTTTCGGCACAGTCATCGCCGATGTGCCACCTGGCGTCCTCCCTCTGCATCTCAAGTCTGGACTCAGATTGATCACATCGCGATCAGCTACCGCTGGCGTGGTTGTGTACAAGACTGCCGCTCCTTCTGGAGTACCTATCTTGACTCTGACCATGCTTTGGTTTGGGCTAATCTTACCTTACTTTTCAGTGGACAACGAAGTGAGCGCCACCAACGGATTGATATTAGCAAGCTGGTTGCAACTTCTGTTGCGAGTAAGAATCGAACCGAGCTAGCCTCTAGGCTAGCTACCACTCCACCGAAAAGTATAGATGAGCATTGGTTGCAATTGCATGACGCCATGAAAATGGCGGGAACAGTCAGTTGTGGGTTCGCGAAACGTCCCGCTGGGTTTCTGCAGGTTCCTTACAACTCATTGAAGCCCATCGGTCTACTCCGAGTGACCGACTGTTCTCCCATACTCGCAGGCTATATCTTTATTAGAAGTGATAGAGCTTCAAGTCTCAAAGAGGGAGGTATAATATTATACGTTAGGGATCACTTTCGTATACAATCAACCATATCGGAGGCTCATATCAGTGGCACATGTGAGGTTGCATGTTGTAAGATTAAATCTAGAAGTGGGTTAGTGACTAAAGGGGGAATATACCGTAGTCCGTTTTGACTTGCTGACGACTTTATCCTAAGACTCATCTGTTTATGGAGTATGGCGGAATTTTGTCTCACCATTGGGGACTTCAACGCACCGCATATCAACTGGATAGGGCTTACAGCTCCAGGTAGTGGTTTCGATAGCGACGTTTTATCTACCGTTATTCAGTGTGCGCTTGTACAATGTATCACAAAACCGACACATATTGATTTCAATCATGATCCGTCACTGCTGGGCCTCGCCCTCACCCACCACCGTGAGGATGTCTTTGATATTCAGCACCTTCCCTCACTAGTGAACAGTGATCACGTTGCAATTCACTCTAAGTTTAGGACACATGGTATACAATCCGTATCTGCTCCACCCCGTCCCAATATCTGGCGAGTCAATATTCCGGCAATCAGAAACTGTGCTATCTCGACTGATTGGTCGGTCGACGCGGATGGATTGACCGAAGATGAATGGAATAAGTTTATGGCTACATTTGAGTCCGTAACGTTGCCGTTTATCCCATGGTCAGCACGTAAGCTATCACATTGCCCTCCATGGATTAATAAGGAAACCCAGAAGCTGTTAAAGCATAGGAAACATTTCTGGGACTTATTCTTGTTGACAGGTCATGCACCATTTAAGCGTGAGTACCAAAAATACCCTAATATCTGTAAGAAAACCATAGCCAAATCCCGTACTACTTACGAACGACAGTTAGTATATGACAGCCGTACTTGTCCGAAACGATTGTTTTCGTATGTTAAACGGCAAATGAAACGTAGTGATGGTATTCCCCCGTTACTGTTACACGAAAATTCTGAATTACTAGCTGAATCAGATCGAGCAAAAGCTGGGACTTTTTCAAACTATTTTAGCGGAGTCTTCTTCACGTTTATTGTAACAAATACTTGTCCCACTCACACCGAGATACCAACCATGGAATCTGTACAGGTGACTGAGGAAACTGTCCTTCCGTTGATGACTAACCTCAAACCTGGTAAGATGCCGAGCCCTGACGGGTTACATCTACGGTTGCTGTCATCTCTTGCGGACATTATTTCGAAACCGCTCGCGAAACTCTTCAACATGTCACTTTCACTCGCTCAACTACCTAGAGATTAGAAGGACGCTATAGTCAGTCCTATATTCAAGGGCGGTCAGACACATATGGTATCTAACTACCGGCCTGTTAGTCTAACTAGTATAGTCGTCAAGTTACTCGAAAAGATTAGGTTGCTAAGCCACATAGATTTACACAATCTGTTAGCTCCTGAGCAACACGGATTTCGTAACAAGCGTTCATGCTTGACTAACTTGCTTATTGCGAGGGAGGATTGGACAGCAGCCCTAGATAACGGTCTGTCTGTCGACGTGATATTCATAGGTTTTAGCAAAGCGTTTGACAAGGTTTCACACGTAGGTCTTATGCAGAAGTTCACGAGCTTCGGAATAATAAGTACTGTACATGCGTGGGTAGGAAATTTCCTATGTGACCGCAGACAGAGAGTGATGGTTAACGGAACGCTATCCGATTGGAAGCCGGTCAAAAGTGGTGTACCCCAAGGCACCATCTTAGGCTTCCTGCTCTTCCTTCTCTACGTTAATGAGTTACCACTGTTACTTAGGTCGTCGACATTATTGTAAAAATCTGGAGAACAATAAAAAGTGCGGCTGATCATGTGGATCTTCAAGCTGACTTAGACGATTTATTTAGATTGGCTGGAGAGTGGGGCTAAGAAATCAATGCTAGGAAGAGTGTACTAATGCACATCGGTCACGGTAATAGTTACCGTTATACTATTGAGGGTAAACCTCTTCCATGCGTTCAAGAGCATAAAGACTTAGAAGTAGTAATAATTCATGATTTAAAGACAACTACTCATTGCAAAGCAGCCGCTGTCAAAGGTTTTCGTGCGTTATGGTCACGTCGCCGAGCGTTCAAATCTTTTGACGAGGAGACGTTTCGAATTTTATATCCCATATATGTAAGACCACACTTAGAGTACTGTATCCAAGCAGCTAGCCCATGTCTGGTAAAGGATACTAACTCCCTTGAGCGTGTCCAGCGTGTGGGAACGAAATTAGTGAAGTGTCTTTCTAGACTCCCTTACGATGAGCGTTTAAAACACCTAAATCTTTTCCCCTTATCGTATCGTAGGACGCGAGGTGACCTTATACTGGCATTTCGTATTTTTAATTATGATTTGGGTGATAATATGTCTTATCTTTTTGCTCCCTCCAGCACTAATAATCTCCGCGGTCATAGCAAGAAGGTTCATAAACGAAGACCTAATAAACTTAAAGTGAGGTTCCGTTTTTCTCATCGAGTAGTCAATGATTGGAACGCCTTACCCGAACAAGTGGTATCAGCCCCATCAGTGAATACTTTCAAGGAGAAGCTGGACCTTCACTGGAAAGCGGTGCGTCAGGATTAACACAGGTTCATCAACCTACTATCCTTATTACTGAAGACTGAACTTCACTGAACTTGACAACTGAAGTGGATCAGGATATCTTTGTAGACTAGATAGAGCATAGTTCTGAATGAACTGAGGAGATCAGTTTGCTTACTGTGTATGTGACCAGTTGTCTTTGTATGAGATTATATAAATGACGACACATTACTTTATTGGTTAGTTGATTTTGATATTGATGTTTTTGTGTTAGTGGAAATTTAATAAGATTTTCACTACTTTTTTCAGATTTCTAGGAATTTGAGAGTAAACGAACTGAGATGGGATTGAAGCGGCTCAATTTATTGTGAATCTTGTAAAAGTTGTTTTTTATATTTTGCTTTACACTGACCTACATGAACATTCATCTGTAAGCGTTATATTACTTTCCGTTTGTACCCAATTATCACCAGGTCAACACAGAAATTCGCTGTAAACTATCACACTATATTACTTACTCATGTTACGCGTCGCGGAGGAGCAACAGCCGCTCACTAGCATTCTCTATCCAACCCTGTCCTCAGCAGTCCTTTCCAGTTGTTTACAGTTGCTATTCATCCGTTTCACCTTCACCATGAGGCATCATTATCCTTGCGAAAGAACATCCTTCAATTCTAATTCAGAGTTTAAATGGTTTAATTTGTTTAATGTGGTTGGCATTGTTCAGCGAGGTTTGTTCCACGAGATTTGGTTGCTGTCACCTGGGATGTGGTCATATTCTACTTTGTGTGCTGTCAAATAGCACATCAGACAAGTTGGGTCATGAAAATTCATCCATAATGAACAGTACTTTATTCAACGAATATTGAAGCCAATCTGAACATTGGATTATGGAATGATTCGAATAATAGACAACTAAGGTTGTCTGGAATGAAATAAGAGTAGCTGTGTCTTCAATTCAACAACCGTCATAAATTTGCTGTAAACTATCATACTATCATACTAAACTGACCAAATGGTCATCAGTGTTGAGAAATATTGTCCAAAGTAAAATCAAAATGGTTTTCGTAGTCTCACTATTCAAACGTTGATGTTTATGCAAAAATCAAACCAGCTTGGTTGTAAATACTTGTGCATTTTTGATGGTGGTTGTTATAGTTCTTGAGGTTTCAGCTCCATACAGTAGAACTGTCTTGATGTTCGTATTGATAAATCAGAAAAACGTCATAGTATGTGATATAAAAATAGGAGTAGAGGCTGTCAAATGTAACTGTTTAATTTATTTAATTCAATTGATGAAAATATGAAAACAGTCAGTATTATTCAATGCTATTAACAATAAAACGTTATTACACATTATTCGAATGCACTGAACGAACACTTTTGTGGGGATAACGAATTTATCATATAACGTCAAATATCACAATGCTTTCATAAAATTAAGTCCTTTATTTGCAAGTCTCCTTTCAGTTGTCCTGTACATACATCTTCACTCTTCATATTCGGCTGTCATTGTAATTCCTCACCGTTTCCTTTTCTGTTTTTCGTAATTCAATCTGAAACGTTTGCTAACAGACACACTATTTCATTTTGGTATTACATACTACTTATATCTGTCAAAATAAGCTGCGTACATCACGCGTTTATCCGTTTTTTAATGGTTGAATTAATCAAGTGTGATTGAAATGGATTGATATAAACCTCAGAACACCATACAATTCATCATATTTTACGTTGTTTGTACATTTTTTCCTTCACACTATTGTGGATGGATTTTCATCGGCTTTCGCTACTTCATCATCCTCATCTATTTTATCATTGTCATCGTTTAGATCTGTATTGTCAAATAATAATAATTTAATATTAGCTACTGGATCAGCATGTCCATCAAATCTTGGAATTGCATGTGGGCATGATTATTTATTAGTGGATGATCGTATACCTAATGTTTATGACGGTATAATTAACAATATACCAATAATTCGTTTTTGTTTAATCAATAATTCCACATTGAAAACAATCGCCACAAAGACAAAAACAAAATTACAAGAAGTAGAAATGATCAATTCATCATCATCATCATCATCATCATCATCATCATTATCTTCTCCTTCTTCAATCTCCTCTGGATACTTTTCATTGAATTCAATAGATTATAATAAATTATATGCACCAGATGAATCATATTTAGTTGGGCAAATTTATGATCCAATCAGTGATGTATACGGTTTACAGTTTACATCAAATTGAAATTTATTAGATCCATATATTATTCATGGAAAAGGCATAGTGTTAGAATATATTGGTAAGGATTAGATTGTTTTTTGTTTGTTACAATGGTTGTTTAAATGTTTATGTTATACACATGATGGACTGGTTGTAGACAGATAATCGTTGAATGTTTGTGATGTTGTCCGCCCCATAGTCCAGTGCTTCTTGAGGTTCAATTTCATCTTGGCGATCAGTGATGATCTGAGGCTATATCAGCTCCTCTCTTGGTTCGCACGTCCTCCATTGTCCTCCTGAACGCTTTGTTGATGCAGATACGGTTGATTTGGTTCTGCGTAGTGTGATCCGGTGAAGTCTATGTGATTTTGTGAATGCGTTTATGTGGGGATATGGTGCCGCCTATGACCAGTTTATTGAAGGCACATAGGTTTTTCAAATCTCTCACCATTTTCGTTTCTTTCTCCCAGTCCGTGTCGTCCCATGATGTCGTCATATCCAGTGTTGTCCATTCCAATCTTGGCATTGAAATCTCCCATCAGAATAGTCAGGTCGTTTGTTGGGCACTTCTCGATGATTGACTGCATCCTATTGTAGAATTGATCTTTAGCGTCTTCATTGTAGTCGTTGGTAGACGCATAGCATTGAATGATGTTCATTGAAATGCCTTCTTTCTTCGTTTTGAAGGAGGCTTTGATGATCCTCGGTCCATGAGATTACCATCCTATAAGTGCGTTTTGTGCTCGTTTGGACAGCATCAATGCAACTCCTTGTGTATATGGAGCATTTTCTTCTTCATGGCCAGAGTATAACAGAAGCTCTCTTCAAGTTAGTTATTGTTGTCCAACTTCTGTCAAATGTGTTTCACTGATCCCAAGCACCTCTAGGTTGTAACTCTTCATTTCTGCAGCAATTTGGAAGGCTCTCCCGCTGCCTCACATTGTACGAACATTCCATGTACCGAAATAGATGGTTGCTGTAACGGAAAGAGAACGATGAAAATCCACCTGCAGCTTCTTTGTTTACCAGTATTGTCATTTATCTGTTCCTTCTCCGTTGTGTATTTTATTATTTGTTCAAATCTCGTTTAACCATATCCTTTGTTCTTCAACCTTCCGCGTTTTGGCCTTTATTATGTGATTTTGATTAAAGACATATCTTTTGTTACCTTATTTTCTGTTGCATGTTGCCGGGCCATTGCCAGTAAGGTCGTGTTTGACTAAGCTCAAGGTCACGGCGTGGTTCAGTGTGTGATTGTTAACCTTCTGACTGTCTGCTTGGGAGGATTACTGGAATCCCTGCAGGTAGATATTTGATCTCATCTTGTTGGGAATATTTGTAATGATTCTCAGGTATCAAACCCTTTAGTATTAACTGTCTCTTTCATTGTTTAGCGCGCTACTTTGCGTTAGAGAAACTTCTGACTGTATAGCACAGGCAGTACCGTTTGAGGTATTTTGTATTTCGATGTAATTTGTTCTGTTTTCTTAATAAGAACCGTTTACACTGAGCACATAGTTTGTGTTTTGATATAATATTATACGAGTATCCCAAAAACGCATTGTGAGCTATTCAGAGGATCGTGGTCTGGTCTAATCGAATAAGTTTTGGGTTCGTCAGTCCGTTGTTCCAATCGAATATTGGTTGTTCGGTCGCTACAGTTGCTCTAGTTGTCAGAAAAGGCATCGGCCTCGTAACTTCCAAAGGAATTCGGCTCTCATCATGAGGCGTCATAGTTCTTCTAAATGGAGACCTTCTGCCTCCCAGGGCAAGGTTTAAAAGGTTTGAATAATTTTTTCTAGTTAGCGTTTTTGTAGCGAGTTGGTTTTCTCCGGGATCGGGTCGCTAACTGTTACGTCCAAGTTTTGCTCGTTCCAGTTATTGAGGTACGGACTATCGATCTACTTGCAAATTACGAACCCAAATTAACAACAGGATCAAGCTCCAATTTAGATACTAAATTTATTCGTAATTCACAAATAATCGACCAAATGTCGTTCTAACAACAATAATTATAACATTTACAAAACAAACCTTCAATTCTGTAGGTTCCCGGAGCAAAACTCCCAAATACCAAACCAAAGACAAAGAGAGCACCAAAATAGCAAACCAAAGACGAACCAAAATGTCCGAAATAATGATATAAACAAACAATACATCCAAAAACACAGTAAATTATTAATGTACAATAAAAGGTTTTAATCCGCCAAATGTCTTCAGTTCTCTTGTAACACTCCCGACCAAAAGAACCTTGGTTCTTTTCATAGAAAAATAAATAGTTAGCAGGAATGCAAGTATATACATCACAAACAATCAACAACAGACACTCAATATACCAACAATCTCGTGATCCCTAGGACTTACACCAGTACGCCTAGGGATCCGAGTAGCTACCTAATATCGACAACTCCTAGACGCAGTTTTCTAATATATCTTACCAAGATCACTTCGCTTGTCCGCAACTCCATCGGTCTTAACCCATCACTATTAGGTGTCACTTTCATTACCAGACCTAATAACCATTTGTCTTTCTCTAAAAACCCAGTACATGTCGCCACCAAGTTACTCTCTCCTATGTTCATCTCTGGTTGAGTCCATTTGTGTCTAAGTTGCAACAATGAAACATATTCCTTAGACAAACGTTTCCAAAATATTTGCGCCAACATAAACAATCGCAATATCAACCATCTAGCAAAATGTTTCATCCTCTATAGAAGCTCATATACGCTAACGTAAATATGGATATATAAACCCATTTAGAGGACCAATCCATTAATTCCTTTATTTACCGCGAACTCTTTATTCTGATTCCAAATCGTTGCATTGTTGGACCCTTCTAGTTCTTTTAGAAAATGAATAACCATTGCACATTCACACACAAACAACTATTCGAGTCCGCAGAACATAAAGCCCTTCTCCCAATCTTGACATCATCAATGTCAAACTTGATCCCTCTGGATGCAAAGTCTGCTATGTTTTTATTAGAAGGTACGAATCTCCATTGGTCCACCTTGGTAAGACTGTGAATAGTCGAAATTCGATTTGCTATGAATGTTTTAAACTGGCTTTTCTCATTTCTAATATAGTGTAAGACAATCATGGAATCCGTCCAAAACTTAACCTCTGCAAACTTAACATCTAATTCTAACTGCAGCTGGTATCACATGCGAGCTGCTAAATCTGCTGCCGTAAGTTCCAAGTGCAGTATAGTTTGGAACTTCAAGGGAGCTACTCTTGCCTTAGCCGTAACAAGACGAGAACATATTTCAGTGTCAGAAATGTAAGAGCAAACGTATGCTACTGCACCATATCCAGTTTCCGATGCATCACTGAAAATATGAAGTTCCAGGAGCGAACGATCTGACTGCGGAAACAATACACAACGTGGAAAACTAACGTTCCCAACCCTCTGAAATTCACTTAAAATCTCTAACCAACGTTTGCTTTCCTCATTTGGAATATACCTCGCCTAGTGAGGGGGCGTTTCGGTATGCGAGTTTTAAATTCAAACGAATCAACCATAGTATTCCAAAATAATCCCAACGTGCGTTCCGTAGGAAGTCTTTCAAGGTCCATCTCTCCTACGGCTTCTGCTCTTTCTTCTGGATGAATTGATTCGAGAACTTGTAAGCGGTTACTTATCCACTTGGTAGGTCTAAACCCACCTTTTCTGAGGAGAGAACTAAGGGCCTTTGCCAGCTCAATTGCATCCTGTACATTATCAATGGAGGCTAAATAGTCGTCGACATAGAAACTCCCATCTACGACTTCCTGGATATCTTCATTAAATTCCTTACCGAATATATCTACCGTCTTCTTTAAGGCGAAATTAACGCAAAAGGGGGAGGACACGGCTCCAAACGGATGAACTGTTAAACAATATTCCTTAGCCGTTCGTCGTATATCACCGTCTTCCCACCACAATAGACGAAATGCTCCACTGTCTTGTCTCGGAATCTTTACTTGAAGAAACATCTCTTCGATATCAGCAGCTAATGCTACGTTACTTAATCTGAATCTTAGAAGTACACCAATTAAACTATTTACAGTATTCGGTCCTCTCAAAAGCTGGTCATTAAGATAATAACCTTGATAGACAGCCGCACAATCAAAAACAATTCTCAATTTTCCAGGCCTTTTAGGGTTGATAACAGGATGATGAGGAATATACCAACAAACAGCATCATAGTCAAATCCCTCTTCACTAGCTTCAATGATGTAGCCCTTTCTTAAATGTTTATTCATCACAACTTGATATTTCTCCAAAAAACTGTTATCTTTCATAAACCTCTTCCTTAAGCATTCTAGTCTGCGTTCAGCTAGTTCCAAATTATTCGGTAGTCTTGGCTTATCATACTTCCATGGTAGACCAACTTGGAAATGACCACCCTCCAATCTAAACGAACTGCTAACTATTTCTAGAGCTTTTATATCTTCGACAGAATATACATTACGAAACGTATCTGTATCCTCGAACTCATGATTATATAATCTTTCTAAATCTTGCAAAATATCATAAGTGCGACAATGACACAACTGAACTTGATGTAGAGACCTTGATACTCCCTTAGAAACTATAATCATCCAACCAAGATGAGTACGCACAGCAAACGGACGCTTCCTGTCCCCCAGACGTTGTTCCAGGACCCAATGTGCATCCGGAGCATCACACACAATCAATATTCCTACTAAATTACTTTGCAACTTCGGAAGGGTTATTTCTTTTAGATGTTTCCACCGTTTCAGTTGGAGTTTGGTTAAAGGTGTTGCATGATCGATCGGAAGTTTCTTGGTCGTGTAAACTTTGTTGATCCTTACAGAACCCAGTTCATCTAATGAAAATACCTGCAAATTTACCTCCAAACAATCACAATTGGTAGTTCCGTTCACAGTCGCCACCCTTATCGAAGTCTCTTTACCTTTGATACCCAACTGATTAATTAATTCTTCACATACAAGAGAAGTGTCCGAACCACTATCTAGAAGTGCATATGTTTCCAAACATCCTTTGTGACCGTATAGTC